TTTCGATGGGAAAAGAATCATTCATGCAAAGTATATTATATAATGCAAGAATTATACAATCCAAAAATAAATATAACCAACTCAGATGGAGAGCATACTATTATTTTCAGTCAATTGTATATAACTTTTTAATACAAATATTTTAAACACACTACACATATATGTCATGCATCTTGAATAGCAATTTCGATGGGAAAATAACTACTCATGCAACATACATATGCATTGCCAGATTATTCACTCCAATAATTAAAACAGACCCAACTCAGATGGAGAGTATACTGTTAATTTAAATCAAGTGAACATCATTTTTAATAGCTCTAGTTCCATTGATCCAACATGTATACTCAGATGGAGAGTAAGTATACGATATCAAATACTAGTATTTCTCCTAGTGAGCTTACAATAAATTTATCCGATATGGAGGAAGACCTAAAGTCAACGCATAAATTTATTACTCACTTGAAATTAATAGTGAAAGACCATAGAAATATAATTCTATCTCCATTTAATCATGATTGTATTTTAGTTACAAAATTGATTTAACCCTTAAACTCAGATGGAGAGCTAATACAGATTATCAATAACTAGTAACTATATCCAGTGAGTTCATAATAAATTTATCCGATACGGAGGAAGACCTAATATCAACGCGTAAATTTACTATCTCACTATAAATAAGAAAATGGAGACCATAGGGGTTAATTCCTATCACCACTTTATCACAACCACGAACTTTTCTCTGAGGATTAAGTTCCACAATTTAAAAAAAATGCTCAATACCCCATTTAAACAGTCTTAAAACACTAAAATTAATATTTTACACTGCATAATAGTGATTATTGTTCACTGGACTATTTCTGATAAATCTACCAAATTTCATATCAATCGGAGATCGTTAAAATCACAATCTCCAAAAATTGCGACCAAATTTGAAAAATTCTCATTTTAAGTATTTTTTAAGAATTTAAAATATGACCTACAATTTTTTTATCATATACCAATTCATGTCAAATCAACATGTGTTATCATGTTCCAGATTAGACATAAAATAAAATGATAGAAAGAATGACTGTTCGTATGTAAATCACATTTTAATTCGTCAAACCTCCAAAAAACTCATCTAAACGATCCCGAATCATCAAAATACGATGTGATTCACTGCATAACAGTGAGTTTTTCTTAAATGATCGTTTCCAATGATCCTATTGAATTTCAGGTCATTCGGAGATCGTGAAATTCATGATCGCCAAAACTAGACCAAATTCGAATAAATTATTTTTGGCGTAGTCAGGATTAAATCCATGTGATTTTCATTCTTGCTATATATCATATCAAGTTAAATCATCATGTTACAAATTTAACACAAATATAGCCGATATATAAAGAATAATTTTTCATATTTATAACAAATTCAATTTAATAAACTGCTTGAAAACCCATCTAAACAACCTCAAAATGCCAAAAACAACATGATTCACTGAATAGCAGTGAGTTTTTCTCACTAGATCGTTTTCGATGAACCCATCAAGTTTCAGGTCAATCGGAGTCCGTCAAATTCATGACCACCAGCCTATAACCAAACTCAGAGAATAACCGTTTTAAGTAGTTTCATGAATTAAAATAAATATGATATTGATTTCCATTCTCCTTATAATTACACTATGAGCTCAAGGCATATGTTATGTTCTTCCTACTACAAGAATAAAGGCCTTTCGCAACAACATTTTTTGTTGCCATATATTCAATGTTGTTGGCAAAAATGTTTTTGGCAACGACAAAGAAGTCGTTGAACTCCGTTGCAATAAACACCGATGGTAAAAGTATATGCAACAAAAGAGAATATTGTTGCCAAAAGGTAACTTATCGCAACAATATCTATCGTTGTCATAAGTCATTTTTTTGTTGGTAAAAGGTCAATGAAGTCGTGGATTATGAAGACATGTAGCAACAAAAAATTACTGTTGCGACAACATTAGTTTTTTGCCAACAATATCAGTAGTTGCAAAAACAAATTGGCGGTAAAGTTAATAATCTATTATCAAGACTTTTAGCAACGACTGTTATTGTGGGAATAATACCTTTTTGCCAACAGATTCTCTAGTACTACTTTGACAACAATTTATATGTTGTTATAAAATACACAATTCATATATTCTTTAAATTTTCACAAATACAAATAGGAATTATAAATTGTATTTTAAATAGATATAAATAAAGTGTCTACACTAAAAATTTATGAAGCGGATACACTAACTGTCACGACCCTCAACCCGATCGTGATGGCGCCCAACACACTACCAGGCAAGCCCGACCATTTATAACAACAACCCCAATTTATTAAACAGATAAAGATAAAACCATTTAAGTCAAAAGTCTGAAATATTGATAATGATGCGGAAAATCTAACAAAATACCAATACAGCCCAACTAGGACCCGGTGTCACGAACATGAGCCTTTAAGTACAGAGTAACATCCTATTACAATGTCTGTCTAAAAACTGAGAATGCAGAAATAAAAGGATAGGGATAGAGGGGAGAATCATCGGCTGTGAATGCCTTGCAGCTACCTCAAATACTCTCGGAATAAGAACTCTGGATCTACTCAGCCTGAGACTGCCTTGGATCTGCACGCAAGGTGCAGGGAGTAAAGTGAGTACTCCGACCCAGTGAGTAATAAACATAACTACAATCTGAAGGTAAGAAAACGCAGAAAATGCACAAAGTACTCTATATCTAGCAGTTCATATCCAAAACAGTGGAAACAGTATACAACAAGTAATACAGTTAAGATATAATGCATGAAAGAATGCAACACATATAATGGTACACACTAGTACCCGCTGCGGCGTGCAGCCCGCTCCACTTATTTACCGTCGATGGCGCTCACTAGGGGTGTGTACAGACTCCAGAGGGGCTCCTACAGCCCAAGCGCAATATCAGCCGGGTATTGGCATAAAACAGGCTCTCGGCCTCAATATCAATATATATAATCGCTACGGCGTGTAGCCCGATCCATATCAAGAAAACATCCTCACCACTGGGTCCCTGACCTATCTCAGTCAAATAAGTCCACAGCCAATCGGGCGTGACATACTATAGGGATCTCAGCCCTCATATCCTTTTCATGTAATATTCATGTATAAAATACAGTTATTGTATTGTTTTTAACAGTTGAAAAACATGACTGAGTGTATATGTGCTGCACACAAGTGTGTAAAAACACATAAGGATCCCCTAAGGATTCTACAGGTCGGCACAAGTCCCCAAACACGGCAATAAGCCCAATTTACAGTGATATAGTATGCGTCTCAATCGCCAATATAGTGGATTAACACTCGGGATGGACCAAGTCTCAATCCCCAACAGTAAGCGACCCGGCACTCATCGTGGAATGCGTGTCACGCCTCAATATAACGTTACGATGTGAAAGTCTGGGGTTTCAAACCCTCAGAGCAGCATTTACATCTATTACTCACCTCTAGCCGGCCGAAAACTAGCTAGCAATGCCCTTGCCTCTCGAATCGACCTCCTCGCGCGTCGAATATGGCCAAAACCACAACGAATACATTACAATAGGCTAAGGGAATATAACCCAATCGAAAAGACTCTAAAAATATCGAAAACCACGAAATGTGCAAAACCCGAGCCCCGGGCCCACTTCTCGAAAGTCAGAAATTTTTACACCAAAATGTTCCTTGCCTCGCCACGAGTCTATACATGTAAAATTTATCAAAATCGGAGTCCAAATGCTCCCTCAAAATTCAATTTCTCATTCAAAAACCCAAGCCCTAGTGCTTCCCTTTTTACTCAAATTCCATGAATTTAGGTGTTGAAATCACAATTAGATGATGTTTCTAGGCCATAGGACTTACCTCCAATCGATTCCCAGTCAAAATCCTCTAAATTCCTCGTCAAAAGCTCCCAAGGTCGCTCAACAATGGTGGAAATTAGACCCAAGTCGCGGATGAAATGTCCATAAAACATTCTGCCCATGGCATTAATTAACCCTATGTGATCACAGCCTTGCTATTGCAATCGCAGCGCACAAATTTCCAGACCTCCCAAAAATGCTCAATGCGATCGCACAACTACCCCTGCGATCGCAGAGCACAGCCTCCCACACCTATGCGATCGCACTCCAATCCCCGCGTTCGCATAGAACAAAATGCTACCAGGGACCCCAGGTCCCATTACACTACGCTATCGCAACACTACGAACGCAAACGCACTGACCAATTTTCCACACCTATGCGATCGCACAGCCTCTTACGCGGTCGCATAGAGCAAATTTGAACCCCTTCCAAGACCTCCTATGCGATCGCAATGCTCCCTATGCGATCGCATAGAGCAAAATCTCTGCAACACTTCAACTATTTTTCTGCAACTCCCAAAGGCCAAGATTAGTCCGATTGACCACCCGAAAACACCCCGAGCCCCCCAGGATCTCAACCAAAAGTGCCAACCCGTCATAAACCATCGTACGAACATGTTCCAATCATAAAAACACAAGAATCGTCAATTCTCAACGGATTCAAGCCTAAGTTCAACCAAAACTTCCGAAACTCACATTCGATCAAAAACCCGACCTAAACACCTCCGATTAAACTGAAATTTTGCACACACATCATAAATCACCTAACGAAGTTACTGCAACTCTCGGAATTCCATTCCGAGCCTCGGATCAAAATCTCACCTATCAACCGGATATCGCCAAAATGCTAACTTAGCCAATTCAAGCCTAATTCTACACCGAGCTTCCAAAATTACTTTTGATTTCTCTCCTAAGCCTTAGATCATCCCCCGAAACTAACCGAATCATCGAAAATCCATTCCGAGCCTTCTAACTCCCAAGTCAACTCCCGGTTGACTATTCCAAACCAAACCTTCCTTAAAGAGACTAATTATCTCATTTCTTACCAAACTCTAACCGAATCACTTCAAACTCACCAAACACATATAATGAAACATGTAGAAGCATAAAACGGGAAAACGGGACGGAAACACATGAGACGACGGGTCGGGTCGTCATACTAACTTTCAAAAACTAAATAATCCTAAAAGTGTATTTTTACTTACAAAACGAGTAAAAACATCATATATCAAAGGTCCTTAAGTTCTATTCTGATAGTAACCCAAAAAATAAATCTTCCAATGTCCTTAAGTTCTATTCTAATAGTAACCAAAAAACTAAATCTTCTTCCAACAGCTTGTGCACTTCATGAACCGGATGTGAAGATGGTTCAATTACGCATGCTCATCCTAAAAAGAAAATAAATATAATTAGCTTTTGATAAAAAGAAGCAATAAAGTACATAAGTGCAAAATGAAACTAGAGGAAGCTTATTTAACTGTTACTACTTATAACAACAACATACCCAGTATTATCCCGCATAGTGAGGTCTAGGAAGGAAAATATGTACACAGACCTTACCCCTATCTTGTGAAGATAGAGAAGTTATTTCCCATAGACCCTCGGCCCATGACAACATAGGCACGAATTGATGAAAAGAAAGATAAGAAAGGACAATACTGAGAAGCCATGTAAAATAAGCACAAAAAATATCAAGATGGTAAGATGACTGTAACAGGAATCATCAACCTAAAAAGAGCTTGTGGAAACACAACATCAACCTCAAAGAACTAGTGGCCAAAATTGTCGATCCATCTCTAATGTTTGATGTCTACCGTTTCGGGAAGGTTTTACTTGAGCTTGTAACTGGTAAGGTTGGCATAAGCCAGTCAGATGATGCCTCAACCAAGGAGTAGTGGGACAAATTTCTTCCTTTCATCACTATACGGGAGAAAGAACTAGTGGCCAAAATTGTCTATCCATCTCTAATTCTAGATGAGAACTTATACTGGAAGAGATGCGGGCTACAACAATTATAGCAAAAAATAGATACGTAGCTAGCAGTGCAAGCTTGAATAAAGTACTCCCTAAAATAAAGTTGCATCAGAACCTATTAATACTCCTAGAGATACAATACTATAGTCAACAAAATACTAGACAAGATTAATTTATCCAAACAGACTCATTTGCATATACAACCAAGAAACTTCCTTTCATGAACTAAAATAAGTTTACTTATCATGTCCATAAGACTTGTAGGACTTGTCTCATCCGAATCATTTAAATTAGCAATCATGTCAAAAATTGCAGCAGGAAGTCCAGTTTGTTAAACATTGTACAACAACACTTAAACATGATAGAACCTCGACGAAGCAAATTTATAACATAATACTTAGTAATATGTACGTATGTTGTACTAATTTTTGAGTAAAGGAAGAAACTTAAATGCAACACTAATTGCTACTTACAAGACAAACACTGCTTATACAAAACAAATTAACTAAGGTTAGATAAATGTAATATTAAAAATGTGGTTAGGTGACACTTCGAAGATTTTCAGCTTTATATAGTACGTATATATCAGAGATTGAAGCTGATACTCATATTAAGACAGCTAACAGCAGGCATTACGAATGAGTAGTACGTATTAGCTATACCACCAAGGTGAACCACAAATATAGTGTTTTAAATGTGAACTCTGTGTATTTTGTCCTCCTTTTTTTTTGGGTGTGTTGTGAGAAACATACAGATGCTTGAGGCAATAGAAAAACTTCAGTGTATGTGTGAATGAAGATATTTAAGCTACAATTGATAACATAGATGTACAAAATCCAGCAAGAACATATCCAAACAATGGCAAAACTACAAAGATTCGCTAATTTTCCATCAGCAACAAACAGGTAGAACAACTATAGGTCATACATTACACAAATGTGTCTGAACTTGAGGTTTCATACAGGTTTCTCTATGTGTCAAAAGGCTTATCTACACCAATTACAAAGGGGAAGAAGTTAAAGGAGTTTCCTCAAACTTCTTATGTAAGAATCAACAACTCCCTAATTTCTTAGACGATGGCAATGTTTATCTGTTTTATTTAGCTATCCAGTACAGATTGGATTAAGAGTGATTGTTCCTAATGTACAGTAGGAGTATAAGGTTTGGCCCTGCTTATTTGTGTAACTTCAAATGTTTCATATTTCATGTGACTTGAAGCCTGGAGCAGAAGTCAAGATTGCTGGCCCTACTTAGACATGTTTTCTAGCTATGAGGCTTAAAAATTAGTAGCAACCATAATGTAAAACCAGAAAGAAAGCAAAATCATGAAACAACAGAGAAAGAAAAGATAAAAAGGAGCATATGAGAATTCAGTAACCCACCCAAATGAAAATAGCAAATTCACTTACTGCTCCTTCAGTTTCTATTAGAGCTGAAAATAGCAAATTCACTTTCATGTAATTCAAGAGCATTTAGTGCTTAGTGTTCCGTTCTATTGCATTTCAAATGTAAAATTGTGGCATGTCTATAGTCGAAGAAAGTAATATATGTGTTTGATAATGACTAACATGAAAAGTGATGCTATCTCATTTATTCTTAAGTAGTTTAATAAAATTGTTCTTAGGATCAAAAGCAAGTAATTGAAACTTTAACGCCTTAAACCAATTAAATACCTCGAAACTTTGTATATGGGATACTAGTGCCATCATGCCCTGTTTTAATATTTTTTGATCACCCTACGAGCTTCCATGATTTCTCGTTTTTTTCGCTCCTCCGTAAGTTGATTTTTCACTTCTATTAGTTTGCATTCTTCCCTCCAAGAACTTTCCACCTTGCTCTTGGGAAGATGGGAATAAGAATACAATAAATATCATACAGATCCATTCGGATGTTAACAAATTAAGAGAGAATAGAAGGGAGCACAGTGCAGTACATTAACAGAGAATGAGCTACCCTGAAACTTTGATGTATATCAGATCTTTAGTTTCAATCTATAATCACTACTTCATATCAGGAGTTGTGGTAGTGATTCTAGTGAAAATCTAATAGTTAACAGTCACATAGTGTTCTAGTTGATGACCATAATGGTTTTATGCAATTGTCGATGACAAGACTTTATGTAGGCACATGGGCAAAAATTTGGCAGACATGTTTTAGACATTTAGATACGATACATTAGGTTCAGAAGTCGCTTCTTTAAGTAAATATAACAAGCCTTTTACTCTAGAAACACAGAAAACTAACAAGGCAAACTACCAGCAGATGACCCCTCAGATGAAACGGTTAGTTAGGATCTTCCCGACCAATGTAACCTAAATGTCAAATCAGATGCATACGGTGGGATCAGAATGTTTTCAATAGAAACTATAACAAGCTGATAGAAGTTTGAATGATTGTTTTCAGAAAACAGTAACGACGAGGAGGCTTGTTTATTTATTTTTTGTCCTTGATAAGGTAAACTCTATCCTCCAAATCCTTGGCCCTCTCCATTCTTGGTGACTTGAATTCCCATCCTCCTGGTTGTGAGTGAATGCTCTTGCCCAGGTAACAACCTCACTTGTCAGTGGGTTACATGTTCATACAGGACAAAGATAAATCTACATGTGACCAACACATCTAAAATGTTAGTTGCTACTTAACCTATCAGTCATATAGATAAGGACTCTATATATCATGCATGCTCCACTGAAAGGTCAAGGCACAAGAAACTGTGTAAGGATCCCGTATCTCCTAATGCCTGAACTTTGACATAGGAAGTCCAATTTCCTCCACATACTTATATAACACTACGTCTGCAAACATTTGCAATTTACAGTTCTCCCTTAAAGACAAATGCAAAATATAAGAATCTATGAATTGCAAAATCCTGCTTTGCTTGCAGGAACCTCGACTAAATCATGGGTGTGTGCTACCTGTTGACTCCCACCACTTAATAACTTTACCCATCGAGACTGGAGCAGCAGTTGATATCCACGAGTTTACCAAACAAATAACCAAAGCTGCTATACTGTCCTCGATTTCCCAAGTAAATAAAAGTTTTAGCCATTGATTCAACTGATCAAGGCCACGAGGAAGAAAAGAAAAGCAAAATATATAAAAGCAAAACTTCAGACAATCGCCATTGGACATTGGTACTTAAAATAGACCGGAAAAAGAACAAAATAATTAAGTTTAAAAAAAAGGGGGGAAATCAGAATATAAAATTTCCAAAATTGGACCAATTTCAATTAATATACTCCATAAACTATCTACAGGTGGCTGATCTTACGTACAAATTCGCTACAATTCAAGAAGAAATACTGTAAATTAAATAATATGAGAGAGAGAGCATACGAATCGGGAGCACAAACAAGGACATTGAAGAGATTGGAGGAGACAAGAACGCGAACAAGAGATCTCAAATCGGGTGCGTCAATTCCGTAAATTCAGAGAAAAAGTAGACAATCGCCCATATTCTAAATTATCAATCCCAAATATTCTCACTCTCACACCATTAATTCCCCAAAAAAAGAACGTCAAATAGCATGACCATGAAAAAAATTAAGAAAATTACATAAAAAACACCCACTATAACAACCAAGAAAAGATACGACATCTCATATTACAAAACAATTCAAGAAAATCCCAGTAAACAATCATTGACTAGTGATTAAGGTATCACAAATTAAGAAGAAGGATACGATTAAACTAAATCAAAAGAAGAAAGCAACAGATATTGAGAAGAAACGAAATCGAAAGCGACAACTCACCAGATTTTGGGTTGAATACAGCGGAAGAGATCAAAAAATCAAAGATGCAAGAACTTAGTTTAGATAATGAAAAGAGAAAGCAATAGAAACTAAAATTGAGCGCTAAAAATTTGGGGAAAAGTAATAAAATAGGGAAATATGTTTTAGGCGCGTCTGTTTTGGCGGAAAACGAAAAGTGATTTACTAAATTTTTGGCCAACTGAAGGGATTTGTTGTTGCCAATTATTTTTATATTTTATATTTATTATATTACTCCTAAAACAAAGTAACGAGAATCTAAAATATTTGGTAACAAAAAAAACCTTGTGGTTAAAAACTTTGTGATACAACAACAATTTAATTACGTTGTTGCTATTTATTAAACTTAGCCAACAACCATAGTATTGTTGTTAAAAAGTCGTTGCTAACTTATATATATTTAAAATTTATTATATTATTTGTTAAATATGGCAACGACATTAAAAATTTTGCTAACAAAAAAATTTGTGGGTAAAAATTCTATAATATAGCAACAACTAAATAAAGTTGTTGCCATTTGTTGTATTTTGCAACATTATTATTGTTGTTGCAAAACAATTGTTGCCAATTCTATACTTTCTTGTAGTTTTCTAGGATATATAATATCTCCTTTTGCAATAAATTATCCTTTTATTAAATACATAAGAACCTGAGATATTATATTTTCTTCCGTTCGGTGAAAACCCCAATATCTCTTCTCATGGGTGGAGTTAGTTTCACTAGTACCCAAAGATAAAACTCTTTTTCTAGTTAAGAACCTCCACCATTAATGTAGATTTTTCAAGGATAATTTTCACATGGTATATTAAACGTATTTCAATGACTCAAATAAATAGACTATTTTGTGGATCCTACTTATTAATCATAATGCTCAATCCATGAATAATTACAATTTCACATGTACAAATTTACTAAGAGTATGAGTTCAAATAAACAAACCACTTTAGTGGTAACTATTTATTACTCATAAAATTCTCGATTTACAAGTGAACATATATTTAGCTCGTAAAATTATTTAATGGTAGACCATAGCTTAAAAGTCATACCAATAATATAAAACTCATACAAAATACCGTCATATTTCACTTAATTAGAACCTCCAATAAGAGAACAAAATTCTTCATCGAAAATCCAAACTAGTAATCACGTAGGGCATGAAAATATAAACTTAAATTTGAGAAAAAAAAATTTATGCACAAATATGTCAAACACTCCAATCATTAGTAATTCAGGCTATCAAATAGAGAATTTTACTTTCTTACAAAATAATTATATCATTACACAATATCAATTATACCTTGTAAGACCTAGTCAATAAAATCCTACACCTCTATTATTGAATTTAATACAACAACATATCTATTTGCTAATAGCCAATGTGTAAACCTATTATATGACTAGTATTTAATCATGGGGACCATGAGAAGTCATCCCCGACACCATTGAATTAAAAAGGAATTAAAATTATTAAGAAGTAATTTCCAGAAAATAGAAAAACGTTCAAAACACAGTCCAAACGACCTCAAAACGCTAAAAAATACCATGATTCGCTGCAATAGCAGTGAGTTTTTCTCACCACGTCGTGTCCGATGGACCTACCAATTTCAGCTCAATCAGAGTCCGTCAAGTTCGCTGACCTCCGAAAATTCCGGCTATTCGACCAAAAACAGGTTTTGCGTTTTTCTAGGGTTTACCCCAAAAAATTCAGATAATCTTAATCAAATATCAATAAGAAAAATGATATCTCATGATTACAAGAATAATCCAAATATTTTGCACAGTTAATTCATAAAATAGCAGTGCAGTTTTTCAGAAAACCACACATATATATATATAAATTCAAAAAACGCACATAAACACCATATTCTTGTTTCATGAAAAGCTTAGTTATCTAATTAGATGTGAGTGGGCCCTGATACCAATTGATGGATTATAATAAGCAGCGAAGGCGATCCCAGTATCAAAAATCACATATAATTTAGACAAATAGCATAAACGGAATTTCACGGGTTACCTCTTGAAGCGTGAACATATCTCTTCTACCACATGAGCGTTCAGTTCCATAACTTCTCAATGGAATCTCCATCATCCGCACAATCGTGATCCTCGAATGTTCCACGGTCTTTTACTGTGTTATCCAAATAATACCGGAAATAGCAATTTTGTGTGGGCGAAATTTCTAGGAAACTTGGCTGAGAATTTCAGCCACCATGTACCTCTCCCTCTAGGTGAAAAACCTTATGTATTTATAGCACAAGTTTTAAGGGTTAAGACCCTTTTCCAAAACCTGTTGGGTTTTCTTTTCCACCAGAAAAATGATTCCTTTATTTCATATTATTTAGGCATAGTAGGGACCACATAATTTAATTAACAAAACTCCAATTATGGAATTAATTTCTAATTTTCGAAATTAATATCTACCATAATTACTTACAAATTATTCCACTAAAAATCCGTAATTGCACTCCTTATCGAATTTCGAAATTCATCCATTAAATCTTATTTAACTCCCCATGTTAAGATTCAGGTACTAATCAATTAAATTAAATTACTGACGATTTAATTTATTGATTATTTCCTTTAGACTTGCGCTTAACTTATTTCATGTGTCGGATACAAAATCCACCGGCCGGGTTTACACATGAAAACTTATAAGCTTTCATAAATGTGTATCATCAATCTCTAAACCGAAACATGGATTCCATCAACTAATTATTACTTCGTCAATGTACATTATTATTATCCAATTTACCAGGCATGTTGACCCACGAAAGAATCTTGCCTTTTAATAAATCAAAACAATAATAATATACACAACTAATAATAATAATATCAAAATTAAGAGTATAAGTACATTTAATGGCTAGAGAGTTTATTTTATTAAGTCAGTATAAAATACTTATCTCTACCAGGTCCGTTCAATACATACAAAATGTACTAGCACAAGAAGTTAGAATTAAATCATTCCCATAATCAAGATAAATTATATTTAATCTTGTGCTACAATCTGATGGTTTGTCCAATTCCATCATTAGATTGTGAACTCAAACTTTATACTTATAAGAACCGATGATTTAATCTTTCGTGTATAAGCTAAACTCTATACACTAAATCATCTACTATATAAGCAAAGGACACATACTAATATATGATCTATAACTTTATTAAAACTGAATAAACAATTGTTTCATAATAAATACTATATCTAAACCAAACTCATGGTTAATAGTATATATCCCAACAATTACAAGATAGGAAATTAAACAACAAGGTGAAAACGAATTCACTGAATTTAATAGATGTCTCTGATCTCAATTATTAAATGATTTATTTCTATATCTAAATCTTAGTCATCCAGATTCGATCATTAAATATATTATTTTTCTTATTTTACAATCACTTAAAGAGTCTGGATAGATTATAACAAAGTTTTTCATGAAAATACTATCATTCACATTTACGGCTAATCGTTACTGCCGCTCAACATTATCAATCGCCACCATCACCATGTATCAACCCACCAGTACCCACTAGCATCTATTTTAAACAACAAAGTGATCTCGAATATTTGATATTCTTTTTAAAATTTATGTTATGGACTTACTTATCAAATAAATCAAATATTATTTCAAAAGTAGAATATAGTGAGAAAACTGTAATTAAGCATATAAGTTAATAACATATAACGATGAAACAAATGAGCGGGAAAAAGTCTTTAGAATAAAAAATAATTTAATTGTGCCAATAATTTTATTAATAGTAATCAAAACTTGAAGTCAATTTACATAATTGGTATGAAACAGAGTGATACACACACACACAAAATAAAATAAAATAAATTCATGAGGATTCTTTATTTATAGTTGAAATAAATTTTAGATTACAAATTAAAATAATTTCAAATATACCTACACAATAGACAATAAAACAGATAATAGAGCTTAAACATATAGTTAATCTTACTAATGTTAAAACAAAAATAATGATAGATTTTATAACAAATCCATGAACGGATTACTCTATTGATACTTTTGTCACGACCCGAAATTTTTCACCATCGAGAGTCGTGATGGCGCCTACTAATGGAAGCTAGGCAAACCGACTCTTACACTTTCTTTCCATTTCTAACAGTTCTTATTTACAACAATTAGCAATGATAATAAAATTACAACGGAATAATTAAACTTAGCGGAAGACTTAAATCATTAATACTAGATACGATACGGAATTCCAAACATAACTTCTACCCAAGACTGGTGTCACAATACTCACGAACTTCTAAGAATACTAAACACAACCGTTTGAAAGAAATATAAAACTGTTTGTCTCGAATACATGAGATAACATACTGAAAATAAAGATAGAGGAGACGTCGGGTCCCGCGAACGCCTGCAAGGCTACCTCGGTGTCTCGATGATCGGAATGCTAACGCTCACTATACTACTGCTGTCCGAAACTTGTATCTGTGCAAAAAGAGCGCAGAGTGTAGAATCAGCACAACCGACCACATATGCAGGCAAGTGTCTGGCCTATTCCGGCGAAATAGTGACAAGGCTAGAACCAGACACTCACATAAACCTGTACAGTTAAAAATATGTATACAACAAAATAACAGGAAGCAATCTTTAATATTTGGGAAGGGAAAACATACTCTGGGGTAGCAACAAAATCTAATGACAGAAATAGAACAAAGGAATTTAATTCACTTCCAGGTTCCACTCATCTTGTTGCAGGCGTACAACCCGCTCTCATTTCAATATAAATTTGTGGTAGGCGTACCACTCGATCCCAATTCAATATATAAGTGGTCGGCATGCCACACAATCCCAATTCAATATATAAGTGGTCGGCGTGCCACACGCTCCCAATTCAATATATAAGTGGTCGGCGTGCCACACGATCCCAATTCAATATATAAGTAGTCGACGTGCCACACGATCCCAATTTAATATATAAGTGGTCGACGTGCCACACGATCCCAATTCAATATATAAGTGGTCGGCGTGCAATACGATCCCAACTCAATATATAAGTGGTCGGCGTGCAACACGATCCTAACTCAATATATAAGTGGTCGGCGTGCCACACGATCCCAATTCAATATATAAGTGGTCGGCATTGTCACACCTCCTTTTTCACCTACACCCCTGTAAGGGCATAAGGGGGA